ATAGAAGACATTAATTAATTAATCAATTAATTAATCAATCAATTTAATTAATTAATTAATTCATAACTGGTTACCTGCAGACACTGGGACCAGGTAAAGGATTTGGTCCTTCGGACGTTCGATCAAGAAGCTGAGGACTTCAGACTGGAAAACATCATTGAGTTGGGCTTGGACAAACACGTGGAGAAGGTTGCTGAGATCTCGTCCTCAGCCACCAAGGAACTGGCCATTGAGCAGGTAGCCTCTTCTGTTTGGTGTGACCAATGGCGAGCTCTCTTGGACTCTCGCCTCTTCCGAGGAGAGCCTGAGGATTGAGTCTCTCTCGACTCCCATGAAGCTCTCCTGGCCTGTCCCCTTGAGAAGTGCCTGCAAGCATCCCAGAACGAAGGGTTGACTTGTTCTCCTGTCCTTCCCCTCCCAGGCTCTTGAGAACATCGCGAAGACCTGGGCTGTCACCACGTTGGACATTGTGCCTTACAAAGACAAAGGACACCACCGGATCAGGTAGGTTGGTTGGGTTCAGGAACGGGAGAAGGACGGACACGCGATCATGGAGAGGTGGGTTTCGGACATACCGGGTCAACACTCTACGATAAAGGCCAGCATTGGCTGCCCCTGGGCGTAGAACCAAGAATCTGGGTGGGGGTTTTGTCCCCAGAACCTACGATGGCCATGCTGGCTTCTGGAAGGAATTTCATATGCTGGTTACCATCATCAAAGCTTTAATACCATGTTTCCCCGAAAATACGGCTTGCCCTGAAAGTAAGTCCTAGCTTGATTTTTACACTTGCACCCAATATAAGCCCTAATTAAGATCCGGCCTACTCCAGAGTGCACAGATAAAAATTAAGCTAGGGTGGGGATGTGGGGGTGGAGCTGCCCTTCTACTTACCTTTGGACGGTTGTAGCCAGGCCTCACACACCTCCCTTGCTGGCCCATTTCTTCTGCAGCCGGCAAGGCTGGCCAGGCTTTCCTGAAGGGCTCTGGAGCTGAGAACAAAGCTCTGGATCGATCCAGAGGTCCATTATCGGCTGCAGAGGCCTTCAGAAAAGCCTTGCCGGCCACAGAAGTAGTAGGTCCTGAAGGCCTCTGATCGCGAAAAGGGGGCCGGGGGCAACACACACAAGTGAGGTTAGTCAGTGGAGGACATCCCCCGAAAATAAGACCTGGTGCTTCTTTTTGGTGGCAAAAAAATTATAAGACAGAGTCTTATTTTGGGGGAAACAACATGGGTAGTTTTGGACTGAGATAGGGTAGCTAAAGGCTGTCTTCCCTCTTGGCCGGACTTCACAATCTATTGGGTGAATCCTTCTCTGGTGTCCTTGGGGGTCTCCGAATTTGGTTCAAGGGAGGTTGAAGGACTCCAACCTCTAATATCTTTGTCTTCTGAGGTCCAAGTGAGTTACACAATTTCGGGAGTGGAAAGGGGGAACGAATCTATGTATAATACAAACTTGAAATTGAGTTCTGGGAATGCTGGGAGTTGATATCCACCTGTCTTTAAGTTTCCCGTGGTTGAGAAATATTAGTTCAGGTTGATCCGGATTTGAAGGCCTGCCACCAAGCTGGTGGGAGTAGATTTCTCGCAACCTGTAGTAGGAGGAGGTTCAGTTTCGGTTTTCGTTTCCCAGCACCAAGCAGCTTTAGTCCAGAATAGTTGAGCTAAGCCACGCCCAGGCTCCTTGCTGTCTCCTCCTTGCTCCCATAACAAATACTGCTTCAGTTTCCAAACAGCCCTCAGCTCTCTCACACACTGACAGGACGCTAGCCAGATGAATACCGGATGGATGCTTGGTAGGCAGAGGCAGAATTTTTCACCCCCTTATTTCCCTCCCCAAAAACTAAGCCCCACCACATAGCTTCGTAGCGAAGCACGGGGATCGAGCTAGCTGTGTTATATATCTTTAGCTGTCCGAATTGTGTGGGCTCCGGAAGTACCTGACTCAGAAGCTACTGGTAGTACCGTGTTTCTCACTTAATAAGGCCGGGCCTTATTTTTTTTTGAGCCCCGAAAAAACGGCTAGGCCGTCTTTTCGGGGGTGATTTAATCCCCCCCCTTTCATCCTCATCTAGAGCGCCGTTGGAGCTGCCGCCGCCGTTTGGAGCTGACGCCACCGTTTGGAGTGCCATTGGAGCTGCCGCCACCATTTGAAGCTGCCGCCACCGTTTGGAGTGCCATTGGAGCTGCTGCCTCCGTTTGGAGCTGCCTCCGCCGTTTGGAGTGCTGTTGGAGCTGCCTCCGCTGTTTGGAGTGCCGCCGCCACGTTTGGAGCTGCCGCTTCCACGTTTGGAGCATTGCCGCTGTTTAGAGCACCACCGCCATTTGGACTGCCGCCACCACTCCAAACACGGCGGCAGCTCCAAACACGGAAGCGGCAGCTCCAAACATGGTGGCGGCACTCCAAACGGTGGCGGCAGCTCCAACGGCACTCCAAACAGCGGCGGCAGCTCCAAACGGCGGCGGCAGCTCCAAACGGCGGCGGCAGCTCCAATGGCACTCCAAACGGCGGCGGCAGCTCCAAGGGCACTCCAAACAGCGGTGGTAGCTCCAACGGCACTCCAAATGGCAAGTCCCCCCACGCTTCCCCCCATTTTGCATGTTTTAAACTAGGCCTAAATTTGGGGGGAGGGGCTTAATTTGATTTTATGCCTAGAAAACATGCTGGGTCTTCCTATTGGTGGAGGCCGTATTGTTGGAGAAACATGGTAGGCCTTCTTTGAGGTCCTGCACTCTCTTTCTGCAGGGGAACTGAGGATGTATTCCAGGCTCTGGATGACAACCAGGTGGCCTTGTCCACCATGAAAGCATCACGTTTTGTCAAGCCCTTCGAGAAGGAGGTGGACCGGTGGGAACGCTGCCTCTCGCTCATCCTGGAGGTGATTGAGATGTTACTGACCGTCCAGAGGCAGTGGATGTACCTGGAGGTGAGGTTTCCCGCCATCATCTCCTTTGGTGGGGCAGGAGACCCCTGCGGTGGCGGCGATGAGCAAGACCTACCTGGTGACCCTTTCCACGAAAGGGCCACGGGCTTTACAAACCCCTGAGGTGTCTCGATCTCTCCTCCATTCTCCAGAACATCTTTTTGGGAGAAGATATCCGCAAGCAGCTGCCCGGGGAATCGTCCTCCTTCGACAACATCAACAGCAGCTGGAAGATCATCATGGACCGCTTTGTGAAGGACAACAACGCCCTGAGGGCTACTCATTACCCAGGTGGCTTGTTCCTCCTTTCTGTCAGGGTGGAGGGAGGGTCCGTGGCCCGGAGGGAGAAGCTCCGTCTGTTCTGACCCAGGCTTCACACACACACCCCCAAGGTCACGAAGCCGACTCCTCGTCCCGATAAAACCCCTTTTATTTAGGTTCAAGGCAATTCCTCTCCAGCAAAGTCCCGGCAAACACGGTCTTTCATGATATTTCACAATTACAGACCTTTATCAGGCTTGGAGAGTTGCCAGCCCGATGGCTTCCAAACGCCACTCTGTAACAGACAATACTTGGCAAGAGGACAGGAACAGATCTTCATCCTAATGAATTGAACTAATTGTCTCCTGCAAACCCCACTCCCCTTTCGCTTCCCTCTGGGAAGGGGCCATTCATCGTCCACCTGTGCCTTTACTTCCGAGTCAACCCTTGTTCTTTAGCTGTTCCCTTCTCCTGGCAGCTCTGCACATGCGCACACTGGGAACAGGCTCCAGCTGTTCTTCTTCCCCAATTATCTCTGACTTCCTAGGCAGCTGGGAAATGTCGGACGGCCCTGGCCCCGTCTCTGCCTCCGACGCAGAGCCCTCGTCAGAGCCTTCTTTAGACTCCAGGACTGGCCCATGTTCCTCCCCAGCCTCCTCACTGTCCAACTGTGCCGCCAGCTCCACCGGCCACTAGCGGGCCACAACGCTGTCTGCTTTGTGCTCAACTTTTCTAGGCTCCACCTCCTCTGGAGATCGGAAGATCGTAGGAGGCCTTCAGGATTCCTCTGGGGAGAACAGGTTTCTTGGACAGGACCAGGAAGGCGCTTTAGGACTCTTCTGTGCTCTTCCCTTGCAGGGCTTCTGGACAAGCTGGTAGAAATGAACAGCGCTTTAGAAGACATCCAGAAGTCCCTGGACATGTACTTGGAGACCAAGCGCCATATCTTTCCCCGTTTCTACTTCCTCTCCAACGATGACCTCTTGGAGATCCTGGGCCAGTCCCGTAACCCGGATGCCGTCCAGCCCCACCTCAAGAAGTGCTTTGACAACATTAAGTGCCTGAAAATTCAGAAGGTAAATGATGCGCGGAAGGAAGGCCGGGGTTTCTCCCTGGGCTAGAACTGAAGAACTTAAGATGTTCTGAGGTCTAGAACAACCTAGAACTAAAGAGAAACGTCCTCGCAGCGAGAACAACTAGCCCTTTTTCCAGCTCTATCCTGATTCCATGACATATTTGTCTCAAATGGCCTGGGGTCTCCTGCTTGAACAGGGGGCTGGACTAGAAGACCTCCCAGGTCCCTTCCAACTCCAACGTTGGTGATGCCCATAAGGGCTCCTCCTCTTCCTTCCCACGTAATGCCGTGGCCGATTGGTAGTCAGAGAAAAGGCCTCCTTTGGGCCAGGAGAGGACGGGACACCGGTGGAGACGCTCCCTTCTCCTTTCCCTGCTCAGATTGGGGCCACCCAGAGGTCAGAAGCTCTCGGCATGTTCTCTCTGGATGGGGAATATGTGGACTACACCCATTCCGTACTCCTGGAAGGACCCGTGGAGGTGAGCAGATTCTCCCTGGCTTCACCTGGAATCTGTAGGTATAAAAGCGAAAGGCCCCTCGCGCATCACCGCAAAATCTCCAGGACCGTCAAGCCGACAAACTTGAAATTGGGCCCGCAGGTTCCTCTCGTCTCCTAGGGGCTCCCTAAGAAAGGATTCTTCCAAAGGACCCTCAGAGCATTGAGAGTATTTCCATTATTATTATTATTATTATTATTATTATTATTATTATTATTATTATGCTCTGATGCTAAGGAGTTCTATTCCCCTTCCCCACCTGAAAAGAAATCTCTTCCAAATGCAAAACACAAGCAGAGGAGGTTCAGTTTCACAGCAGCAAGCAGCTTTAGTATAGAACAGTTGAGCTAAGCCACGCCCAGGCTCCTTGCTGTCTCCTCCTTGCTCACACAGCAAATACTCTTTCAGTTTCCAAACAGCCCTCCACTCTCTCACACGCTGACTGGAGGCTAGTCAGATGAATACCGATAGATGCTGGTAGGCAGAGGCAGAAATTTCCCCCTCCCCCCCTATTTTCCTCCCCAAAAACTAAGCCCCCACCACAGATTTTCATAGCGAAGCATGGGTATTAGAGCTGGCCATTTGATAACTGTGAAGGTGTTGAAGATGCCACCAGGCGTGAAACACCACGCAGACTTTTTGACGTTCTCTCTCTGCTCTCCTTTCTGGATGAGAGCTTGCTTGGAGCTCAGGACGGTCTCCTGGAATCCCCTCCCCGGTCTCCTGCCCACCGTTCCCAAGTCTTAGGCTGCCCAGACCATGCCTGGTCCTGTTGAGCGTGGACAAGGGTGGCGTCATTCCACGCGCGTTCCCTGCTCCTCCGCCGGACTGTCCCACCAGGGTGGATGGGGATCCTGGCAGACTCCCCCCATTTGTGACCGAGAATCCATGCGTCCCAGGAGTGGCTGTGCGACGTGGAGAGGGCCATGCGCTGGACGTTGAGGGAAGTGCTACGGAACTGCCGGATGGCCTTGAAGAAGATGTTGACCAAGAGAGACAAATGGGTGAAGGAATGGCCCGGACAGGTGAGGGAGGTCAGATGGCGTCTCTGGGGTGTGTGTGTGTGTCCTGGCAGGTGGCCGGGGGGGTTGTGGCGAGCCCTGATATATAGCCGGGCACCCCATATATATATATATATTTGGTGGGACATGCTGGTCTCCCTTCCGTGGTGCCGCTAACCCCGATATTTATGTCCCCGTCCTCAACCCCATAGGATGGGGGTCTTTGGCCCGCGGCCAAAAGAGGAGATGAATGGAGGGAGAGGGATCTTTATGGGGTGGACTCCCCCCCCCCCAATAGCTGTAACCGGAGTGAGCCCCACTTTGCCCGATGTTCCCCATGGGTCCTTCTTAAAATGTTGATGTTCCCACCCTCGAGTGGAGACATCCAGAATTCAGGGGTGGGATTCAGCCCGGTTTGGGTGAACCATTGGTTAAATTTACCCCCGGTTCACCGAACCGGTAGTTGAACTGACCGGCTGGCACCACCTACCCCTCCCCTCCCAGGAGTCTCCCTGTGGCCCATTTTGGATGCAGGTAAGTGGCAAGGTCTGCGCAGCGGTTCTGAGAGGACGGGGAAAAAATGGGCTGAACTGGAAGTCCGGGAAGCCTCCGGACTGTGGGGAAGGGGACAAAAATGGCCGTTCTGGTAGGCCACGCCCACCGTGGCCCCACCCACCCAGCAACCAGCCAGAGAACCAGGGGGGGGGGGATTGCTTCCTCGGCACCTCGGACCAAGCTGAGGAACAGGGAGATGGGTCTCTTTCCCCCCTCCCCAAATGGGCCTCCGTGAGCCGATCTTCCTCCCCCTCCCTCTCCACGGCGATCTCCGCCAGATGGTGATCACCGCGAGCCAGATCCAGTGGACGACCGACGTGAGCAAGTGCTTGGCCACCTGTAAGGAGCGCGGCGACAAGAAGTACCTCAAAGCGATGAAGAAGAAGCAGGTGAGGTTCCCCCCGGGACTTGTCGCCGTCCTGCACACACACACACACACACCGCAGCCCTGAGCACAGAGCCCGCCCAGTCCTCGACTTACAATTTGTTCCCTTAGCGACCGCTCAAAGAGTAGCGCGGTGGCCTAGAGACGGAGCTCTCGCCTCACAATCAGGAGGCTGTGAATTCGATCCTAGGTAGAGGCAGATATTTCTCTCTCTCGGCACCCCGAGGATCTATCTGCCGAATGTAACTCTGCCCTGGCGACAGGAAGGGCATCCGGCCAGTAAAACTCACAGCTCCATTCGGTTGCCCGAACTCCGCTCTGCAACAAACAAACGAATCTTTCCCCATTTTAAAACAACCTGTCTGGCTACCGTCGTTAAGCAGATCACAGCGGTGACCCAGTTATTAAGTGAATCTGGGTTTCTCCTTGACTTTTGCTTGCCAGAAGGGGGAAATCACGCGAACCCGGGACGCCACGACTGTCATAACTCTGAGTCAGTGGCCAAACCTTCCGACAAGCAAAAGTCAACGGGGAAGCCAGATTCGCTTAACAACGGGGGGCAAGAAAAGCGGCAAAATGGGGCAAAACATCACCGTCTCATTTAGCAACGGAAACGCCGGGCGGTCGTAAATCGAGGACTCCCCGTTTCTACCACCAGAACTATAGTCTTCCCCAGGATCTGTAATTTCGTTCTCGCAAGCGAAGGGTGGGATACAGTATCGTCCCCCCACCCCCAAGCCAGTTTCCCTCTTCTAGTCCAGCCTCCCCCTGCTTAAGCATTTGAGGCAATTGCTAAGGTAGACTGCAGCTGGACTTGGGGGCTCTCCACACCGCCCTCAGGACAAACAAGCTTTCTCTTTGTGTGTGTGTGTGTGTGTGTGTGTGTGTGTGTTGTGTGTGTGTGTGTTGTGGGTGGGGATCAGGTTTCCATGCTCAACAAGTACTCGGAGGCCATCCGGGGCAGCCTGACCAAAATCATGCGCCTGAAGATCGTGGCGCTGGTGACGGTGGAAGTCCACGCCCGCGACGTCATCGAGAAGCTCTACAAGAGCGGCTTGCTGGACGTCACCTCCTTTGAGTGGCTGAGTCAGCTTCGCCTCTACTGGGAGAAGGTGAGGAGGGGGGGGAAGCGGGGAGGGGGAGAGCACGGGTAATCCATGGGCTACCTGTGGCAGGCCATGAGATCCCTCTGCTGCCCTCTGCTGGAGAGAACGGGCGCTGCACGGTGGACTTCCGGGCTCATAGCCCCAGCCTGGGGTGCCGTTGCCCCTGCTGGACACATGTAGAAACACACAGGTGGACCACAGGTGGATGCTGCTCAGCAGGCAGCAGGCTCACACACACACACACACACACACACACACACACACACACACACACACCGTGGTCCCTCTGCCACATTCCATCAATGCACTAGAACTGATATCATTACCTAGTTGGGTCATGAAACATCTGGAAGAAAACCACCCACCTCAGGGAGCACCAAGGACCCCACAATCCTTTTCCTTTTCCCCCCCCCACCTCCTCCTCCCCCTCCTCCTCCTGTCTGCAAACTCCATTCTCTTGCAGCACTGATGAGGTTCCCTAGTTGGGTCGTGAAACTTCCTTTCTTTGCAGGATTTGGATGATTGTGTGATCCGGCAGACCAACACTCAGTTCGCTTACGGCTACGAGTATCTGGGGAACTCCGGCCGGCTGGTCATCACCCCTTTGACTGACAGGTGCCGATGGGAGGTGGGGGAAGGTAGAGGGGATGGGCTTAAGTTGGGGGCTTTCAGACCCCTGGGAAGGTGGGAGGAGGCGAGCGTGGGATTGGCAGAGCCTGCCTGGATTGACTCTCGGAGGGAAGAGTTTGCAACCTTTTGCTGGCCAGAGTACAGGTACTCCTCAACTTACGACCACCAATAAGCTCAACGTTTCTGTCACTAAGCAGGGCACTTGTTAAGTTTTGCCCCGTTTCCTGGCTTTCCTTGTCACAGTTGCTTAGTGAATCCCTGCAGTCCTTGAGTGAGTCACATGGTCATTAAATGAATCTGGCTCCCCCCACGGACTTGTCAGAAGGTCCTAAAAGCAGATCACCTGACCCCATGATGCTGTGACTGTCATAAATACAAGTCGGGGGGGCCGAACCTCTGGATTCTGATTACGTGGGGATACCACAACAGTTGTAAGTGTGAAAAACGGCTGTGAGTCGCTTTTTCCAGTACTGTTGCAATTATGGTCACCAAATCATCTTTTAACGACCCCATAATCCCTTGCAGGGTGAAGTTTGGGCAACTGAACGGAGCTGAATGTTTACTGGCCGGATGCCCTTCCTGTCACCAGTGCGGAGTTATATTCTGCAGATATATTCTCATTGTGTGCCCAGAGAGAGAAATATCTGCCTTTATCTAGAATCGAACTCACAGCCTCCGGATTGTGAGGCGAGGGCTCCCCCTCTAGGCTACCGCACCACTCATTTCCATTCCACAATGGACCCCAAATTTCAATGGCAACGGAATGGAGCTGAATGTTTACTGGCCAGATGCCCTTCCTGTCACCGCTGTGGAGTTACATTCAGCAGATATGTTCTCATTTTGCTCAGATGAAGAAATATCTGCCCCTACCTGGGATCGAACTCACAGCCTCCTGATTGTGAAGGGCGGCCTCCCCCTCTAGGCCACCACACCACTTTCATTATGGCCACTAAATGAACGGTTGTACGTCGAGGACAGCCTGCGGGGAAAGCCAAGGCAGCTGGGACATTGTGGTTTTGCCCCCACCCTCAGGTGCTACATGACGCTGACCACGGCTCTCCACCTCCACCGGGGAGGGTCCCCGAAGGGCCCTGCAGGCACCGGCAAGACGGAGACCGTCAAGGATCTGGGCAAGGCGCTCGGCATGTACGTGATCGTGGTGAACTGCTCGGAGGGCCTGGACTACAAGTCCATGGGGCGCATGTACTCCGGACTCGCCCAGGTGAGTCAGTCCTCGACTTAACGGCGGCCAGAATTTCTGTCGCTGAACGAGGCAGCGGCAAAGCGGCGTTACCCTGTGGTCAGATGGGCAAACCGATCAATTGGATAAGTTCAATCGAGTTTTTGCTCCAGCTTATGGCCCGTCGTTAAGTGAATCGTCGCAGAAAGGATACACCGTTCCGAAATTTATTTTATTTCTCAAATGAGTTAAGTTAGCAGCATGGTCACTAAGTGAGTCAGGCTTCCCCATGGCTGGTCAGAAGGTCACAAAAGGGGATCACGTAACACCCCCCCCTGATGCTGCGACCGTCATAAATACGAGTCAGTTGCCAACCATCCAAATTTTGGCCAGGTGACCACAGGGATGCCGCAACAGTTGTTAAGTGTGAAAAACAGTCCTAAGTTGTTTTTTTCAGGGCCATTATAAACTTTGGTTACTAAACGAACTGTCGTAAGTTGAGGACTACCTGACTAGTGTATAGCCAGCTAATTCTGTTCTCAAATAAACTGCCCAGATTTAATAGTAAATAGTAAATCTAAATACAGATAGTCCTTGACTAATGACAAAATGGAGCCCAACATTTCGGTTGGTGAGCGAGCAGTGAATTTGGCCTCCTTTTACGGCCTTTCTTGCCACCGTCGTTAAGTGAATCACAGCTATTGTTAAGTAAGTCACACAACTCTTGAATGAATCCGGCTTCCCCGTTGACAATGCTTGTCAGGAGGGGAATCATATGACCCCAGGGGAAGGTCATAAATACGAGTCAATTGCCCAGCCCCCGAATTTTGAGGCCGCGACAATCATAACTCTGAAAAATGTGTCTAAGTCACATTTTTCAGGGCTGTTGTCACTAAACAAATGGCTGTAAGTTAAGGACTACTTGGGTCTGGATGAGTTTTGTGGACATCTTTTGGTCTTGAAACAGGAGGGAAACTTGTAAGTCTTGTTATCGCCTCGTTTTCCCCAGGCTGACTGGGGGATTCTGGGAGTTGAAGTCCACAAGTGGCCACCTCTGTCCTAGAACAGCGTTTTTTAATCTACGTATCTTTTAAATTGTAAGAACTTCAACTCCCAGAATTCAATTTCCTTAAAAGATGTATGGACTTCAACTCCCAGAATCCCCTAGTCAAGATGGCTGTCTGAGGGGGATTCTGGGAGTTGAAGTCCACAAGCGGCCAAGGTTGGAAGAACTCCTGTCCTAGAACAATTTTTTTCAATCTATGTACTTTTTAAATTGCATGAACTTCGACTCCCAGAATCCCCCAGTCAAGATGGCTGTCTGAGGGGATTCTGGGAGTTGAAGTCCACCAGTCTTAAAGCGGCCAAGGCTGGAGACCCTGGTTGAACCTGGGTGGGACGGGGGAGATCTCCTGGCTGAACCCCGCTGCTTTGCCCCCCACCCCCCACAGACGGGAGCCTGGGGTTGCTTTGACGAATTCAACCGCATCAACATTGAGGTCCTCTCAGTGGTGGCCCAGCAAATCCTCTCCATCTTGTCTGCTCTGGCTGCCAACATGACCCGCTTCACCTTTGAAGGCCACGAGATCAACCTGGTGTGGTCTTGTGGCATCTTTATCACCATGAACCCAGGTAGGTTCTGGGTGGGGTGGGGAGGAGGAACTGGAGTGGTTCTGGGGTGGGGGCAAATTTAGGCCACAAAATGTTATATTCCCCCACCCACCCACCCCGTGGTTTTGGAGATATCATGGTTCTTCCAGATGGTGCGGGATCTGACCGGCTCTTTGATTCCAAGCTCTGGAAATTCAAGAATAAACGTGGGCGTGGCTTTAATGGCGGCAAATTTAAGAGGGGTGGACTTCAACTCCCAGAATTCCCCCAAACAGGAAGGCAATGGGGCGGGAGGGATGCCTCTGGGCCTGTGTGGAGCAGGGTCACCAGAAGTGACTACCTAAGGCCAGGGGTGGGGAATTTTGCCCCCTGTAGCACGTTTGGACTTCAACTCCCAGAATTCCCCCAAACAGGATGGGGAATAATGGCCATTTTAGGACTCGTGCTGGCTCAGGAATTCTGGGAGTTGAAGTTCACCAGTCATGAAAGGGTCATAGTTCCCCGTGCTGGCTCAAGAATTCTGGGAGTTGAAGTCCACAGGTCCTAAAAGGGCCCATCGTCCCCCATGCTGGCTTGGGAATTCTGGGAGTCGAAGTCCCCCCCCCCCTCTGAAACTGGCCAAGATTGAAAAAAATGGGCTTTACAGCAATCGGAAGAAAAATCTGATGGTCGTTGTATTTAACCCTGAGCGGTATTTATGCCTCACAGGCTGGCTGGGGGATTATGGGAGTTGTAGTCCATCCATCTTAAGGCGACCAAAACTGTATCTCTATCCCCTATGCCACCTGGGGGATTCCGGGAGCTGAAGCCCACCCCTCTGAAAGTGGCCCAGCTTGACAACCTCTGGCTGCCCCCGCCCCTCCCGCTGACCTCCTCTTTCCCCGGGGGGGTGGTTTGGCAGGCTACGCCGGGCGCACGGAGCTGCCGGACAACCTGAAGTCCATGTTCCGTCCCATCTCCATGGTGGTGCCGGACTCCACCCTCATCGCCGAGATCATCCTTTTCGGAGAAGGCTTCAACAACTGCAAGGTATTTGGGGGCGTGGGGTGGGTTGGGCCCTCTGGCAACAGATAATCGGAATTGGAAGGGGACCTTGGAGGCCGTCTAGTCCAACCCCCCCCCCCACCGGCCCCATCTCCACCCTCTCTTTCCCCCGCCCCAGATCTTGGCCAAGAAAGTCTACACCCTCTACTCCCTGGCCGTACAACAGCTCTCCAAGCAGGACCACTACGACTTCGGCCTGCGGGCCCTCACGTCCCTGCTCCGTTACGCCGGGAAGAAGCGCCGGGTCCGGCCGGACCTCTCGGATGAAGAGGTGAGGGTTGTTGGGTGGGCGGGGGGCACCGCGAGGGGCGGGGGTGGAGGGCAGATGGGCCTGGTGGAGCCCTCTGAGGCTGCTGCAGTTAGTCCTCGACTTACAGACCACAACCGCGAGTTTCTGCTACTTAGCGAAAAGGAGTTTTGTCCTGTTTCAGGACTTTCCTTTGTGACCATTTTATGACCTTCCTTCCTTCCTCTTTTCTATCTCCTTCCTTTCTTCCTCTTCCTTCCCCCTCCTTCCTTCACCCCTTTCCTTCTTCCCTCCCTCTGTTCCTTCCTTCCTACCTTCCTTTTCATCTCTCCTTTCTGCCTCCATCTCCTTCTTTCCCTCCCTCTTTCCCTCCCTCTGTTCCTTCCTTCCTTCCTTTGTGTCTACCTACCTATCTTTCTTCCTTCCCCATCTGTCTCCTCCCTCCCTCCCTCCCTTCCTCTTTCCCTTCCTCCCTGATTCCTTTTTTTCTTCCCCTTCTCCCTCCATTTTTCCTTCCTTCCAGGGTCGGGATGCAAATATTTTTATTCCTGGTTCTACGGGTGTGACTAGGTGGGCGTGGCCACGTGGGCGTGGCCATGTGACTGGGTGGGCACGGCTTCTTTTTTTTTTTCCAGCACCCCCTCCTCACCTGCTCTGTTTTTTTTTGGCCTCTTGGGCAAAGCAGTAAGACAGTAAGGGGGACCCTGGCATAACTGATTGTCGGAACAGCTGATTGTCGGAACAACTGATTGTCAGAACAGCTGACCGTTGGGAGGAGGAGGAAAAAAAAGAAAGAAAGAAAGAAAGAAATGCCTGTTCGGCAGAACCTGGAGAATCCCACCCCATGATCCATTCCCTTCGGCTTCTCCTCTCCTCTCTTCTTGGAGCGGGACCTTCCTTTAGAACCGGAGAAGCTTCTTGGATGAGAAGCGAAATGTTTTCCGGGAAAAAGGAAAGAAAAAGAAAAAAAAATCCGGTTGGATTTTTGAAATTAAAAAAAAGGGAAAAAGATCTGCCCTGAAAGGATGGAGAATCTCCGCGGATCTTCTTCTTCCCTCTTGGTTCTTGACCCTTTCCCTTCTCCCTCTCCCGGGGCCGCAGATCCTCCTGATGGCCATGAAGGACATGAACATCGCCAAGCTGACCTCCGGGGACGTCCCGCTCTTCAACGCCATCACCCAGGACCTCTTCCCGGGCATCGAGTGCCCTGTCATCGACTACGGCAAGGTCAGCTGCCCCTCTGTCCGTCCGTCCGTCCATCGGAGCCGGCCCTGTCCTTCTGCCTCGGCGGGGGGGGTGGGGGTTGGATTGGGGTGGGGGGGCTGCAGGGAGGGGTAGGGGGAGCTATGCAGGGCCTCCCCAGGGGCAGCTGGATTGGCTCCTGGAGGGATGGGATTGGTGCTGCCAGTCTCGGGGGCACAATTAATTCCTTCCTTCCTTCCTTTCCTTCCTTCCTCTTTCTTTCGTTCTTCTCTCTCTCTCTCTCTCTCTCTCTGTCCTTCCTTCTTCCTTCCCCCCTCCCTCCCTTTCTTTCTTTTCCTTTCTTCATTCCTTTGTTCCTCTTTTCTATCTCCTCCCTCCCTCCCTTTTTCTCTTTTCTATCTCTTTTTCTTTCTTCTTTCTTTCTCTGTCCCTCCTTCCTTCCTTCCTCCTTCCTCCCGTCTTTTTTCATTCCTTTGTTCCTTTTTTCTATCTCCTCCCCCTCCCCCTCCCTCCCTTCCTTTCCTTTCTCTTCTCTATCTCCTTCTCTTTTTCTTTCTTTCTTTCTCTTCCTTTCCTTCTCTTTCTTTTTTCTTCCTTCCTCCTTTCTATCTCCTCCCTCCCTTTCCTTTCTTTCCCTTCGTTCCTTCCTTTGTCCCTCTCTTCTGTCTCCTTCTCTTCCTTTTCTTCTTTCTTTTTCCTTCCTTTCTCCTTTCTATCTTCGTTCCTTCCTTTGTCCCTCTCTTCTGTCTCCTTCTCTTCCTTTCTCGTTTTATTTTTCTTTCCTTCCTTCCTCTTTTTTCTTCCTCTTTTCTATCTCCTCCCTCCCTCCCTCCCTCTCCTCCCCCCCCCCGACAGCTGAAGGAGGTGCTGGAGGGGGAGCTGAGGGAGATGGGGCTGCAGGTGATCCCCTTCACCATCATGAAGGTCATCCAGCTCTTCGAGACCAAGAACTCCCGCCACTCCTCCATGATCGTGGGCAACACCGGCAGCGGGAAGACCATCACCTGGAAGGCCCTGCAGGCCACCCTCTGCAGCCTCCACAGGGCGGGAGACGCCGCCTTCAACCTGGTCCGGGTGAGGGGGCCTGGGGGAGGGGGCAGAGAGGCCGGCGCCCCCCCTCCCTCCCCTTCCCTTCCATCCACCTATCCATCCTTCCATTCCTCCTTTCCCCATTCCCTCTCTCCCTCCCTCCCTGCCTTCCTCTCTTCCTGCCTTCCATCCCTCCATCCATCCACCTACCCATCCCTTCTTTCCCCCTCTCCCTCCCTCCCTCCTCCCTCTCTTTCTCCCTCTCTCCTCTTCCTTCCTCTCTTCCCCCTTCCTTCCTTCCATCCCTCCACCCATCCCTTCTTTCCCCTCTCCCTCTCTTGTTCCCTCCCTCCCTCCTTCCCTCTTTCTCTCCCTTCCCTCCTCCCTTTTCCTTCCACCCTCTCCTCCCTCTCCCCCCCCACTCCGCCCCTTTTCCCCACTTGGCCAGGACCATCTGTGGGCCCCACTCTGCTGTGAGAGCCACAGAAAAATTGTCGGCCTCCCTTGATGTGAGGGGAGGGGGGGAGAGGGGGAAGGGGCAGCCTGCCCTCCCCCGCCCATCGGAGGGGCCATGAATTGCCCTGGAGGGGGAGGGGCTCTGCCTGGCCTGACTTTGCCTACCAGCCAGGGGTGGGATTCAATTTTTTTTTACTACCGATTCTGTGGGCGTGGCTCGGTGGGCGTGGCTTGGTGGGCGTGGCAGGGGAAGGATATACTGCAAAATCCCCATTCCCTCCCTACCTCACTAACCTTACGAAGACACTGGACAGCCACTTGTGCGAAATGGGATAGGGTCTCCTATTTGAGCGGGGGGGGGGGGGCTGGACTAGAAGACCCCCGGGGTCCCTTCCAGCTCTATTCGGAATGAAAAGACCTGCGTTCCAGCTCCGTTCTCCTGGGCGGGGCAACCAAAGAAGACCCAGCCGATCAGCTGGGACTCAATGGGAGGCGGAGAATCGATGGGGTTGGCGGGGCCAGTCAGAGGTGGGATTGGCCGGTTCTCCGAACTACTCCACATGTCCGCTAGTTCTGGTTCTCCAGGACTGGTCAGAACCAGCTGAGTCCCACCTCTGCTGCCCGTGGCTCTTGCCCTGCTGCTGACTTCAGCTTCTTCCTCCTCCTCCTCTTCCTCCTCCTCCTCTCCCCCCAGGACTATCCCCTGAACCCCAAAGCAGTGTCCCTAGGCGAGCTGTACGGAGAGTACAACCTCAGCACCAACGAGTGGACGGACGGCATTCTCTCCAGCGTCATGCGGACGGCCTGCGCAGGTACAGCGGTACACGTACACAGACACACACCCATGCTCTTTGCTGCTGGCGCATTTCTTTTTTCTTTTTCTTTTTAAATTCAATTTTTTTAAAAAAAAAAAAAGACAATTTCGTGCCGTAATTCCATCTTCAAGTGAACCGCGTGCGGTCTAGGTACAAGCGTCTCTGTCAAAACGACAATCCAAACGTCGACCTTCTTCACCGTATGACAACATGCTTCCATACTTCATTCTACAGTATTTAACACAGTCATCCTGCCCACGAGGTTGGGCTTTTAAAGGCCTGGGGTCTTAAGGCTGCTGCTGCTCTTGAAGGGGGAGATTTATTTAATGGCACAGAATTGCTCCAACAGTGAGGCGGGTGATATACTGTATAAATCAATCAGAATAACAAGAGCTAGAAAGGACCTCGGAGGTCTTCTAGTCCAGCCCCCTGCTCAAGCAGGAAGACCCTATACCATTTCAGACAAAATGGCCGCCCAATCTCTTCTTAAAAACCTCCACCCACAACGTCTGGTGGCAAGCAGTTCCACTGGTGAATTATTCTCACTATCAGGAAATTTCTCCTTAATTCTAGGTTGCTTCTCTCCTTGGTTAGTTTCCCTCCATTAATCAATCAATCAATCAATCAATCAACCAGGCAACCTCTTTAAGATGCCTTTAGAACAGGGGTCTTCAAACTTGACCCCTTTAAGACTGGTGGACTCCCAACTCCCCGAATTCCTCCTCCAGTCATGTTAGCTCAGGAATTCTGGGAGTTGAAAGCCACCAGTTTTAAATTTGCCAAGTTTGAAGAACTCTAAAGAAATTCTAACTATCTCTGGGACAGTTGGGATAATGGGAGACCCCCCCCCCCCCCCCCAAATGGTCTCCTCTGTAGCTAGCAATGATAGCTTGGCGTTCTGGGAAAACAAACCTGGCCAGCGATCCTGACCGGCTGGTCCCTTCCCTCTCTTGCTATAGTCCGGAGCGTCCGTTTCCTGATGCACAAGACCAAAACGGGTGGTTGAGATCAGAGGTGGGATTCAGCCGGTTCAGACCCGTTGTAGAGAACCAGTAGTGGAAACTTTGACTGGTTCGAAGAACCGGCCAATCCCACCGCTGGCTGGCCCCGCCAATCCCATTTATTCTCTGCCTCCCGAATCCCAGCCAATCGGCTGGGCCTTCTTTGGTTGCCCTGCCCAGGAGAACGGAGCTGGAAAGCAGGTTATCCTGCCCTATGTCCCCTTGTTTTTTTAGCTTAGCTGATTCGCACAGAAGAGCTGAGGTAAAAAAACAACAACAGATCGGCTCACTGACGCTGAGAGACGGCGGTTTTTCATTGCTGCGCGAGTTCACAAAGCGCCCTTTCATAGCACCGGTGGGGAAAACTGTTATGTTGGTGGATCGGTCCCAAGGAGAGACGCGAGACCAGTGACTTTCAAGCTCTTTTTATTAGTTGGTAGATCGGCTTGCTTGCATCGGATCGGCGGCGGCTTATATAGAACTTGTACCCGGCGCCGCGGCCAATGACAGCCGTTCGAATCTCCCGCGACCGGCTAGGCCAATCGCGGTCGATCCGTAACAGCCAATCATTGCTGTACACTCAGCCAATCCGAATGCTGTGCGTCCTAGCCAGTCGGAACGCAGGGTTACAAGAATGCAAATACAGAACAAAAACAAACTATTGGAATCCCACCGCTGGGTGGGACACGTTTCCTCCTGTCCCTCGTGGGCTCTGACCGAGCGTCCCTCCTTTCGTGCCCAGACGAGAAACCGGATGAAAAATGGATCCTTTTCGACGGGCCGGTAGACACGCTGTGGATCGAGAGCATGAACTCGGTCATGGACGACAACAAAGTCCTCACCCTCATCAACGGGGAGAGGATCGCCATGCCCGAGCAGGTAACTTAAAGGTCCTTGCCCCTTTGGAGTATCCGAGGTGGACTCCCACAGCATCTGATAGACATTGGCGGGCGGGGGTGTGTGTGTCTCTTCCAGGTTTCGCTGTTGTTTGAAGTGGAGAACTTGGCGGTCGCCTCTCCTGCCACCGTTTCCCGATGTGGGATGGTTTACACCGACTACAGCGACCTGGGTTGGAAGCCATACGTCCTATCCTGGATCGAGAAGCGTCCAAAGGTGTAGTAGAGGGGCAGGATCGGGCTTAGGATGGTGACTTAACCCAGTGTTTTCTTGGCAACTATAAAACGGGTGAAACTTCAACTCTCAGGATTCATCAGCCGGCCGTGCCTGTATGTTTTCTTCTCCTGCTTCCTAGAGCGGAGGGATTGCAGAGAAGGGGATTACAAGAGAATAAGCAGGACGCAATTTGCACATGTATCAAAAGGGATGCATGGCTGTCTGGGAATTTTGGGAGTTGAAGTCCTCCCATCTTCAAGTTGCCAAAGCTGAGAAGAAGAAAAACAACAACACTCCGCTAGGCAGTCTTGAGCATTGTGGGGTCATCCGTGGTTATGCAATCAGAATAGAGCTGGAAGGGACCTTGAAGGTCTTCTAGCCCAGCCCCCTGCTCAGACAGGAGATCCTATACCCATGATGGTGAACCTATGGCACGCGTGTCATAGGTGGCGCACAGAGCCATTTGTGCCAGCACACGAGCTGCGGGCAAACTTGCCTCAC